TATATATATATATATATATATATATATATATATATCATTACTAACAACTAATATTGAAATCAACATGAACATCCTAAATCTTCTTTATTATATACTTTTAACGTGTTATAAAGAAGTTATCAAACACGAAAAATGAAGAATGCTTACTTTCCAAAGACAACTAACTTACTGAGTAGGCAACGGTAAGAAAGTATGTTGAATGCGTATTGTTTGTTCTAGAAGGTAAATCAGTCCAACGAAAAGCAGGTTTTCCCAATTCCTAGCTACGAAATTGAGTTTGTTATCAGGAACTAAATTTACTACCATTGGTCACTCTGTCTTAAGCTACTTGTTACCCGCGGGTTTCCTAAAAGAAAAGTATTCAGGAAATTAGAATATATACTTGACATAAGACCAGAAACAATGTGGAATTTACTATTTGATACTGATTTATATAAAAAATCAAATATTTTTTTTAATGTCAACAACTGACATACAAATATGAGGCTCCTAGACAGTGGGTTGAAAAAAAATCCTACTCTCCCCCTCCTCTGAAAAACAGAAAATAAAAAAAACAGACAAGCGGAAAAATTCAATGGATAGCATTACCATAATTCATAATGCGTTACAAAATATTTTGGTCACTTTGAAAGCCAATAAATGATGAGAAACAACGTACAAGCAGCAATTACTGCTGACAGAATAAGAGTATCCCTTGAACGCCGCCTTCTTATCGAACCTGCAAAAGCACATACTTGATCAGAGGCGAATCGGAAAATCAATGGAAAATTAGAAGATAAAAACTGCAACATACCAAGAAGGCTTCGAATCATGGGGAACTTGTCACCAAGACCTTTCACTTTTCCTTGAACATCAGAAAACAAGGCTCTTTGAGAACCCAACACAGCTCTTGTTGCTTGAGCTTGACTAATCACATCATCCATCTGAAAAACAAAATGCAGGGAAAGTGAATCAACACTTCCTCAAAATCCAGATAATAGAGTCACATCTAAAAGAGCTGAAAATAAAAGAGTTTCTACAATGCCCCTTATTATGACAATATGTTAGCACTAAGAGGAGAAATCTCAAAAAGAAGACAGCCATTCGCATATAAAGTAAAAAGGTTTCCGAGATTTTTTCTGTTAAAGAAAAATTATTATGAGATATTACTCCTGAAAGGGTAGATGCAGTACTGCAAATTTTGAGAATTTATAATTATAAGTCGAACAATATGTTTTAAGATTTAGCTATATCAAACTAAACATCAATGACACACCATGTAGGAACCAAGGACTGCATAGATGCAATAGGTTATGCTACAGTTTGGCCAGCCATTATTGATGGAACCTTAAGAATAATTTGTATACCTAGAAGAATATGATTATTGAAAAGGAAAATATTATATTTGAGAACTACTGGGATATTGATTACTCAATATTATATAAATCTCCAGTTAAATTTAAACACTGGTAAGCCTGTGACTTTGGTTTAAACCTTAGATATGACTTAAAAGACCTCATGATATGCAGCCAAAAAAAATGTACAAAAGAAGACATCGTATGACAAATCTTAGCTACAGCTGACTGTATGACATTAGTTCAAATTGTGCAAACCCTAGAGCAAGTCTGGATTGTCCCGAATAGTGTAACTTTTCAAAGGATCAATGCATATTTAGCTTTCACCAGTGGCCAATAAAGAAATATTCACCAAATTAAAATTTAATTAGAATACAAATTTATAATACTCCATAGAAGAAATACTTACATGAGATATATTTCCATGGATGGCAGCCCTCTCCCGTAGCAACTGCATCCTTGGTGACATACTGCCCGATGTCTGCCAGAAGAAGGTAAATATAGTACAGCTATTATGCGGAAATATCTGTGTTATTTATTTAATTCAAATCATACTCATGATTCACCTTAAAGTCGGTAATATCATCCCTGACAGAACTCAAAAGCTCTGCATGTTCCCTCATTGAGTTTATGTTCCCTTTGATACGCCTAAATTCCTGAGAATTAATAAATAATAAGGTAAATATCTTTTAAGTCAATTTATTAGGGTAATAGAAATTTTTAATGTATCAATGTCTAATTCATTACAGTAACATTCTAATTAATAAAGTCTTTCTAGTTCCTATATAAGCTTTATCAAGTCTTGGCTGAAAATTAGTATAACAGTAGGTAGGGAGTAGGCCACGATATATCATATTAAAGTGGCAAGATAAATAAATCACGGTAGTATGGTAGGTCAGCATGATGCGTGAGACCTTAATTTCTGTAGAATAGACCTTAATTTCTGTTGATATCCGTTAGCGGATGTGGATATCCGTTAGCGGATGTGGATATCCGTTAACCGATGTTGATATCCGTTAACCGATGTTGATATCCGTTAACCGATGTTGATATCCGTTAACCGATGTTGATATCCGTTAACCGATGTTGATATCCGTTAACCGATGTTGATATCCGTTTAAGAACGAGTTAGACGACTTACGGACAATAAGTTAAAAGGAGACCCAGGGACATAAAGTACATTATCAATGGATATGGACGAAAAAATATGAACAGTACCAATACCATGAGATGAGACTCTAGACCCATCAGCCACAGTTACCAAGGGTAAATTAATCGAACATGACAAGGAAGAAAACAAGGACTTGTTACCGGTGATATGATCGGTGGTGCCTGAGTCAAGGACCCAAGATCCGAGAGAGTGAGTCAAACCGACAAAAGGAGTACCTGTGCGTATAACAGAAGCAGATGTAGTGGAACTAGAGTGCTAACGGTCCTCATACCATCTGAGAAATTCCTGAAAGAGTAAAGGGTTATTTATGATATTTGATGAAGTAGGATGGTCTGCAGACGGTGATCGGGGTGGATCAGAATTAGCCATTGCTATAGGTCAAGGAGGACGTCCATGAAGTGCATAACATCTATCAATTTTGTGGCCTAGCTTGCCACAGTGGTCACATTTTGGACGTCCTTTACCTGGTTGGCGAGACCGACTCCGATCATCAAGTTGGGCAGCCATGGAGAGGGAGAAACCCTAAAAAAATCTAAAGTGCTTCGATTGACGCAACGACCACAGATCTAGAAAGAGGGCGAGGAGGCGATCACGGCGGTTCTGATCGGCGGCGGAACTCTCTGGCGGCGCGCCGGCACGTGCGGCGGGAAGCGGAGGCAACGGTGACTGTTGCGGCGGCGCGTGGAGGCGCATGGGTGGTCCGTTCGCCGCGATCTTTCTTCCACGGTGGTCGCCCGGCCAAGACGATTCCAATGGTGTGGTCGTCGGTCGATTCTGGAACTACGACGGCGACGACGACGGCAGCGGCGACTGCAACGACAGCGGCAGTGATGGGTACCGGAGATCGTGGAGTTGGCGGGAACTATTCCTGTGCTCTGATACCATATTGAATATAGTGAAGAAGATTAGGAGAAATCTCCCTTATGTGTTTAGCATACACATAGGGTAGTTTATTTATAATGTAAGATAAGGGTTAAACCTTAAATACAGAATGGGCTAAGCCCAATTAACAGAAACACACAACTTAACATCTAATAGTGGGGAAAGGAGGTACAACATGGGGAAGATGTAACTCAAGCTCGGGTACAGTCGCGGGGACGGAGACGTATCGGGGATCGTCGGAGGGGCCTTCCAACGCCGGCGAAGGGCAGGAAGACGAAGAAGATGAGATAGAGGAGAGTCCCAAAATCGAACAAAAAGACCATGGAGTTATCTGTATTATATGCAGGTGGTGTAACGCGGTTTAAAACAATGAAACTGCGAGGTTGGGTGCAAGGGTATTGGTGTTGATTGACAGTGGGACGAGTCATAACCTCATTGCCACCAGATTGGTGGTGGAATTGGGGCTGAAAAGTGAGGATACGCCCCCTTATAATGTATGTTTAGGTGATGGGCAGAAAAAGGTGACTAAGGGGTGTTGTATAGGAGTTTCCGTGGGGTTGGAGGGATTAGAAGTCAGAGATAAACTTTATCTCTTGGAGTTGGGAGGTGTGGATGTGATTTTAGGAGTGACCTGGTTGACACCCCTGGGAGAAATGAAAGTAGATTGGAGGCAGCTAAGCATGAAGATTGAGCAGGAAAGGAACGAGGTGGAGATCAAGGGGGATCCCACTTTGACAAGAAGGGTTGTTACTCCAGAGGTACTCCTAAAGGAAAGAGAGATTGAAACCTTGACTCTAGTTTGGAGCTTAAGCCATGTTGAACTGATGGAAGGGGAGACAGAAGGGAGTGGCTTAACTCCCAATGAAGAGATAGGATTGAAGTAGATTTTGGGGGATTTGGTATATACCAAAACGTGGGAGGAGCACACACATCATCTCACACAAGTCCTGGAAGTGCTAGCTAAGTAGAAGCTCTTTGTCAGCAAGAAGACATGTGAATTTGGCAAGAAGCAGAGAAGATATTTGGGGCACAAAATATCTGAAGGAGGTGTGGAGTTGGATAGAGAAAAACTCACAGCCCCTGTACGGGCTCTACCCGATCTTGGCCAAACCTTCTACGGGGAGTGTGAGGCTTCTAGCACTGGGTTGGGGTGGTTTTGTCGCAAAGCAAGAGGCCCATAGCTTTCGTTAGCAAGGCATTATCTGAATCTTCACTTGCTAAGTCCATTTATGAAAGGCTGGAAGTTAATAGAATCCAGGAAGAATGGAAGACAGTGGAGGAGGATTTGCCACCACCCAAGCCTCCAGACCTGAATTGGAAGGCGCCATTGGAGAAGAATAGCATTACATCAAATAACAGCTCGTTGACTTCAACCTTGAGGACAAGGTTGATTTTGAGGGGTAAGATAATGTTAGGAAAAAAAGAGGAAGACCACACGGTAGCAAGAAAGAAGGAGGGAAGTAGAAACGAACGATAGACAGAAGGGTGAAAGGAAGCATAGACCGGACGATATCCAGAAGGGAAGAGGGTAGTAGAGGCCAAGGGGTACCGAACGATAAATTAAGGAAGGAGGGAAGTACATGTCGAACGGTAGACAGAAGGGAGAAGGGAAGTATAGACCGAACGATATCCAGAAGGAAGGAGGGGAGTAGAGGCCGAGGGGTACCGAACGGTAAATGAAAGGAGGATGGGATCAAAGGCCGAATGGTATATATACCCTAGTACCGAACGACAATTAGTAGAAGCAGGTTGGGTTAGCAGAAAGGATAGGGCGCAAGAATGAGACACTATAAATAGTCTTCCTGTAACTCTAATCAATTAGGTTATTTCTTTTGAGTAAAGACTGGACATATTTGCCAGTGGAGGAAGATAGGCTTCCTTTGGGGGAGATTACACTTGTAATTTTCTATACTTTACAAAATCAATAATACATACATACATACTTTCATTTTCTGTTGTTCGAGTATTGAAGTGAGAAGAGGGGATCGAATTAGGTTATTCGCATAAATTAACCTAACAAATATCCTCACCAAAGAATTCTTCTAGCCTAAATTTGAACTTCTTATAAGCATGTTGGCCAATAGATATACATGCATCAATCTGAAGGGGCGGTTGAAGTTGATTAGGAATGAATCTAAGGAAGTTTAGGAAAAATTGTTAGGAACAGAAACTAAATATACCAATTCAAATGTTGTCAGGTATGTTATCTTTTAACTCTTGCTTTGATTAGTTTGTTATTTATACCTAATTCTTCTAAGCTCAGCAAGAGTAAATAGAGTATACGGAATGCCTTTTTAGTAAGAGACAAGAGGAATATGACTTGGAAGTAAAAGTGGGAGAAGGTGTCACAATACAGGTTCCTATGTTTAAATATCTGATATCAATACTTCAAAATGATAAGGAAATATCTGAGATCAATACTTCAAAATGATAAGGAAATATCTGAGATCAATACTTCAAAATGAAAAGGAAATTAACATGGATGTCAAATAAAGGATAGAAATGAGAATGCCACATTAGGAGCTCACATAAATTGGCATACTTGTTCACAGAGTAACTTAGCTCAGGTCTTGTGATAGTAATATATGTCAAAGCACCCACAATAGATCTATAAAATGTAGGATCTTAAAGAATATCTTAACCAGATTTTGTCAACTTGCTCCAAGAAATTGTAGTAGATATAGGTTTTGAATCAATCATATTTGTCTCAGCATGTAAATCTTCGATATATTTGGTTTAAGTGAGGAAAAGAGAACCATTATATTGTTGTCTGACCTCTATTCCCAAAAAGTAATCAAGTGAACTGTTAAGAAATGGACTTTAAGCCGAATTCAATCCCACAAAACCGACTTATAAGATGAGGTTTGCACCCACTTATATATTATAAATTGTTTTTAGGTTTAATGTCTCCATAGGTCCCTATTTTCGTCCAGAATCTCAAATAGGACCCTTTCTTTTTTGGCGTCTCAATTGGGTCCTTATTTTTGTAAAATTGAATCAATTACAGGCTTGCCGTTAAATTGGGAAAAAGTCCGTTTAATATTGAATTACGTGGCATAGTTTAATTAGACGTGGCATTATAAACATGTTTGAATTGTATTTTGTATTAAAAAAAGACTTCAAACAGGGGAAATCAGATTTAGACAGGGGAAATCATATTTACTTAAAGGGCAAAGTGGGAAAAGAAAGAAAATAAGTGCAACCCAGCAACTGAGAAATCAATTTGAAGCTCAGAAACGAAAACAGAAATCAAGATCCCAATTCAAACATTGCAATTTCAATTACATCAGAAAATCCCTAATTTCCCACTTTCAGCAAAACCTGATCTCCAAAATCAGATAACAAAAGGAACCCTAAATTGTAGAGTCAAGAATTTCTCAATCACAACTCGTCGTTGACGTTGTCATCGCCGGATAAGGCAATCACTCGCCCTTGCTGTTGTCGCCAGAGATCAATGCGTCAGGAGTGATGGTCAGAACTAAACCCGCATCCACCATTGCGGGTTGATTCGAAGGAGGAAAGCTTCCGCGACCCCCTCAGAGCACCGCCGGGACGCCATCGCTGCCGCACCCTCACCGTGCCACGTGGAAGGGTTCGCGTCCTAGCCACCGGTAAGCTTATCCCCTACCTACAAAACCCCTAACAGAACCAAGAAGAAGAGAAGGAAGGAAGACGTCTACTCTTCCTACTCCGCGAGTTCGAACAAGGTCGAAAGGAGAAACAAGCTCTAAAGCGAAACACGCCACTGCCGAAAACCACAATTAGATCTTCTCTCCTACAAGGCCGCAACCATGGTACGAAGAATCAAGAAGAGGAAGAGGAAGAATTTTCCTGCGTGCACCGCCATACTCCCACTGCTGGAGTTTTTGGTTTAAGAAAAGAAAAGAGAAAGGGAATGAAGTTTCCCAGAACCCTAAAACTCATCTATTAATTTAATTTGATTTCTCAAGTTTACCCTTACTTAAATTTTATTTTCCCAACGTGCACTCTATTTTTTAATTCAAAAATTAATAAAAAATACACTTCACACACCTTTTTAAAGCCACGTCAATTAAAATTACACCGTCAGCGCGTCACATATCTCCTTCCTTAACGTCGTCTGATCAATTTAACGGCAAGCCTGTAATTGATTCAATTTTACAAAAATAAGGACCCAATTGAGACGCCAAAAAAGAAAGGGTCCTATTTGAGATTCTGGACGAAAATAGGGACCTATGGAGACATTAAACCTTGTTTTTATCTCTAGTCGATGTGAGACTTCCAACACATCCACTCATTCCAAGACATATACACTCATAATAGCCTGATACCAGGTGGAAAGATAGGCCCAACAAACAACTAACTTCTTTAGGATAGGCTCTAACTCATGGTTCTAATGCCATGTTAAAAAATGAACTTTAAATTTAACTCAACCCCATAAAACCGGCTTGTAAGGTGAGGTTTTCACCCACTTATATATTATGAATAGGCCTTATTTATAATTGATGTGGGACTTCCAACATGAACCAAGTTGTCTAAAGGAGAAAGTTGCATTCAATTGAGTGACTAATTTGTGAGTGGAAGTAGAACTTTTTGTGACAATGATATCACCAACATATGCACAGTTCGTCTGTTATTACAGTAGATGAATAAAGAAGGATCACATTTACTGTTAGCAAAACCAAACTGCAGCAGTGTAATTTTGAGCCTCACAAATAATGCTCGTGTTGTTTGCTTAAGCCCAAGATAGATCTATTTAATTTGCAGACTTAAAGACTTGCCAAATGATTCAAAACCTTGAGGTTGAGCATGTAAATTTCCCCTTGTACCAAACAATTTAGGAAAGCATTATTAACATCCAACTGTAGCGGAGAGAATTTAGGTGTCAAAGCTACATTCATAATGATACAGACGGTAAATGGCTTAATAACAGAAGAAAATGTCTCAACCTATAAGAACCCAGTCATATTCTGTTAGGAAACAAGGTATGAATCCTAACTATCTTCCTCTCTCTCTCAAGTCAAAAGAATAGCACAAGCAATTGAATCAACGTATAGTATGGTATTCACATCAAGAAACAAGAATACAATGAGATATCAGGAGCTTAACCTTCTTCACCAGGTACTCAGACCGGTCTGCACAAGCCAAGTTTCTAACTGTCTAGCGAAAACAATAAAAGAGCTCCTCTTATATAGACATTTGTCCTGCCCCCCTTAACCGCTCAGCAGTTCCTTATTTCTCTATTCTTTTTCTCCTTTCCTATACTCTCTAAGTCCTAACATATGCAACCTATAAGAACCCAGTCAGGTGGAAGAGGGACCAGTAACCATTAAAGATTGGTACCATTGGGAGTTTGAATAGGGATTCTAAGATGAATTCTAAGGGAGTGACCACTAACAATGGATATTAGTTACTAACTGTTGAGGCTGGTAATTCTGACTAAACCACTGATAAAAGAAGAAAGATGAATGTCTGAACCTGAAGCAAATTTCAAATTGAAAGTTGCTTTTGCTACTGCAACCTTCACCTTGGTTGATGCATCCACTACGACCTATAACAAATTCACAAAAGTTAAGAGTAACTAGGGCTTGTAGAAATAGGATTTCGACCATAACTATTGGAGAAATTAGGATAAATATCAGGTTTCTAAGTTTGAGAAGAGGTATGTGAGAGATTGACTAAAGGCAAGAATGTAGTATTATTTGAATGATTCTTTCGGTATTTCTTGAAACACAGTTCTTGAGCAAGAATCAAACTTTCCACTTATTCAATAGGAAGTTCTCCAACACAACTTCTTTCTACTAAGGAGATGACCAAAGCCAATTCTTGCATAGACCTTCAAGAATAGCTTCCATATTTTCTCTCAATGTTGTTGACTCTACAACTGCATGAAGGAAATCAACAAGTGCTTTGGTTCTAACAAGATACTCATTTACAGGACAATTATCAAGGGTAGTATTGCAAAGTTCAAATCGAAACTGCCTCATCTTGTTTTGTGTCTGGTGATGAAAGTATGAACCAAACCTCGTATGCATGTATACAAATGCAATGGTGTGAGAGAAAATATGAAAGATACTCTATACTGATGTGATTGTTGTCGCAATCTTCATTAGTGCAAAACTCTGAAGAAAAATTTGGAGAAATAACAAAATGGTGAAGTTTGTGAGCTTTGATCATTGGTTCGATTTGTTTCCTCGAAGTAAAATATATATATATATATATATATATATATATATATCATCTAGTTTTTCTGCAATTTGGTGTGTGAAGGTTGTAAGGATGCAATAGGTGGAGATTGGGGAGGAGAAGGTATTTCGGAAGCAAATGAAACATATCGATATCTCTAGATACCATATTGAAGCAAAAACACAGAGAGATGAAATAACTAGTATATTGACATGTGTAAAATGACTAACCTGATTTAGGTTCTGTTTACAACGACATATTTATACAGAGAAGCACACCCAACAAACTAAAACAGTTATAACTAAGTGATGGCTGTCAACAACTTCAGTACAGCTGATGACACACCAACAACAAAAGTAAAAATATAATGAGAGAAAATAAAACCCTAAACGAATTATAAACTCACGAAATGGATGTGTGGCTGCACCAGAAAAGACAAAATATGAACTGATTGTATACTAGAAGAGGTTGTTTTAGCACCAATCATGAAAAAGATGACAAATAATTGCTTAAGGTGGTTTGGACACATACAAAAAATGCCAAGTGAAAGTAGATTGCAAAGAAATTTTAGTCTTGAGAAGAGGACAAGAAGGGAGGCTAGAAGGACTGCTGGAGGAAATTCTGAAGAGGGATCCATGGGTAAATAACTTCTTTAACAATTTCAAACCATAAATCCAACTATGTATGGCCAAATAACTAATAAAAGAATATACTTATTTTTCTCTCTAAACCTGCACCAAGCATTGCAAATAAGATGAAAATTTGAACCAATTCTTAGAATCTACAAGCTTATCATGTCAATTCCAATGCAATGTCCATCCATGTACCAAACAAAGACCATGCAATGCTTGCATGTATGATGAGCTACACATACTTCTATGACAATTTATACTTGTAGACATTCATTCCTTTTGAACTGATACAAAGTTGAAGCTTTAAACTAGATTATGCAAAATTTAATCACACCTGGGTAAACTCATGAAGAATGTCTCTGTGCCTAGCCAACTTTTGAGTTACAGAAGTAGCCGGTCCGGCAGATGCAGCACATCTACTCATTGAATCATTTATGTCCAACAGTTTCTCCAGCAAAGACTGGATTTCCATTTCCATGGACTTCCAAGACCTACTGGACCCAAGAGGTGGTGAACCACCGTCCACATGACCTAATAACAAGAGGTATATTCTCATAATTTATAAACATAGAGAACATACACTGCCAGACTAAATGCATTCTATTCAATTTTTAAGTGCATCAAGACTATTAATCAGGACACATAGACAATTTCTCCATCATCTCCAATTTTGAAACCCTAGCTTCCTGTCAATCATGAGCTCTTTGTGGCAATAACTGACTCCAGCACATGAAGAAAAACAAATACAGTTGCAGAGATTTAAATTGTATTTGTGATTTTAAGCAAACACGAAATGCAGTTGCAGAGACCTTCAAAACCGGCAGACAGAAACACAAATGCAGATGCTAAAAGTAAATGTTAACACTAGTCATTACACCTGAATATCATCGAGTTAATTATCTATAAACAACATTTATCATTTGGCTAACATCATTTATCATTTGGCTAACATTTTGCTCTTAAAAATAATTGATAATCAAATAACCGTACTTAAATAATAATTAAACAATCTAAGACGAGAACTTCACATGCACTAGAAACATTTCCATTGCGCAGTTCCTACATAAAAAAAAAAAAAAAAACTAAACAACGAACAGAAACTAACAATTACTTGCAATTACCAAATCAAAAATCAAAAGCATTGACACCAGAACTTCTAGATCCAATTACCTCTTGGGTGAGACTATCCATCAATTTTATTTACTATAATTCAATTTCAGAAACCGTAGAAACGCCAATGAGAATATTGAATATGTGTTGATTCAGTTTAAGATATCAATGAATGAAATGAACCTGTTTGCGTGAAGCGACCGCCGAGTTTGGCGTAGGAAGAGAGTTTGACGTCGAGATCGCCCTCGATCTTGCGCGCTTCCTTACGCAGTTCCTCCCAACCCGATTCCTGCAACTCCAGATTCGGATCCCTCATTCGGATCTTTCTTGGGGAGCGGATTTCGGTTATTACGGTTTAGAGATTCAGTTATTGAAGTTCGCAAGCGTAAGAGAAGAAGAACAGAGACAAGTGGAGAAGAGAAGAACCAAGAAGAGAGCGAAGTAGGTAGGATCGTCTGCAGGTAGTGCACCGCAAGAACAACTGCAGCAGAGTCTAGCGTCATTTCTTTATTTTTTATATTTATGTTTTTTTTTGTAATCATATATTTTAGAATCATATTTTTTTACATTTATTTGTATTTCCTTATGTTTAACTTATTTAGTTTTTTTAATAACTTTTTTAAATATTTTTCATACGAATAAAATTATAAAATAATATGTAGTCACAAATCAACAAAGGTGCAAAACAAAATAACACTCATTTAATAATCACATCATTCGTTTAAAAAAAATTACATAATAAAAAATTAACAAATATAAATTTATCAATTACTTAATAAACTATAAAAATTTATTAGAAATTTAATTATAAATTTTTCAATTTATCATAAACTTCAAACTTAATTAAGCTTATGAAAATTGTAATATATTTTTCTTCTAAATAGAAGTTTCAATGTTTCTAGCACCATTTTTACTACACTTTTTATAAAAATAAATTATTTTAAATTGGATAATTTAGAATATAACTTTTTTATATTTTGAACTATATATTTCACAATTTAAAATAAAAATATATATTATGAATTTCACTATCTAAAATATAAATATATTTTAAACTAATATAAAATATGATTTTAATATTTTGAATTATATATTTCAAAATTCAAAATTATATTCTTAATTATATATTTAAAATAAAAAATACATTGTGAATTATATATTTTAAAATGCACAAATTTACATTCTAAATTCTGAAATACTAAAATTTGTAAAAAAAAATTACATAAAAATGCAATAAGAAAGTGTCATGTTTTGTTATCCATTTATTTATTTTTTATGTACCTCCATAAAACCTGATATATCCATTCTACCATTCAATTAAATTATGTTAAAAACCTAATTGTTAATCTCTACCATAATTGAACATCAATGCACTCCTGGTCCTAAGCTTCATAGATAGAAACCAGATGAGGAAGTGTCCCTCCCTTGTATCCCAGTCCAAAAATTGCAAAATAGGAATTGTGAGGGAAAAGAGTGAATTGCAGTCCTATGTATAATTGTGCTCTTTTAACGAATTTAACTTATATATTTTCAAGGTTTAATATTAATTAATGGACCATTGTCATCTACCATTGCAGCAATCACAAGTCACTATTCTTATTGTCAGACCATTGTGAATCTTTACGAAATCCAGGTTCCAAGCAACAAACTACCACCACAAGTTTTCACCGCTGTTCACCATCAGCCTCGCACCACCTCGAACAACGTCATTGTGAAATCCTTCATTGAACCCAAACACGATTTGCGAACTTTCATATTTGCACTGTTGTGACGACCAGCAACTGCCATCATCTCCCTCAAGTCACCACTATGAGTCTAGAAGCGAGATCGAGAAACTTCGCTATTATGCGCGAGCTTCACTACACATACAAATCAATAACCCAAAAATCCAAAACGCCTCAAATCTCTTTATCAAACAGAACATCCTGAAAAAAAAAAACCTAAATCGCAAAGAATAGAAAATTAAGAGACCTACTGATAAGTTGTCGTTGAGGCTATCAAATTAATACTACTTTTCAAGGCAACTTCAGTATTGCCAAGTAGTATTTAAAAAAGTAGATAAGGTTAAAGTAACCCTGAGTCGTCTCCCAATGAATACGAAATTGCCTTTCAATATTTCAATTTTATGAATGCAATGCAATAAGAATAAAAGTAATGTTTGGAGAATGTTTAAAGAACAAATAAGAAACTTAAAAACAGTTACGATTAAATAGGCTAATTCCACTGCTTTTCCAAGATAGATTCATCATCGGTTATTCATGGATAATTGTTCAATTGATTATTGTTTAAGTTTCAAATTAATTAAAGTACATTCTTAATTAATTTGAGGGCAATCATGTATTTAACCAAAGTAAATTCTCAATCAATTGCAAAACCTTTCTAGATTATTCACAATAAATTCAACTAAAGTACATTCTCAATCAAATTCTATTGTGTTTAATCATGTCTATTCTTAAATCTCCTAACCAAGTTAAAAGTTAATCAATCAAAGTAAATTCTCAATTAATTATAGTTGAAATTATTTCTAACAAATAAAAGACCACTCTCAATAGATAGTAAAAACCATTTAATCATATGAAAGTTCCTAAATTAAATCAAAGTAGATTCTCAATTTAAACCTAGAAACCCTATAACTCATATAATCAATATGCATGTAGATTCAAACACATTATGATGCAAAAATCTTTACTTTTAACAAGATAGAGAGATGAAAGACATAGAGAGAGAACAACTTAAATCAATAATCAAAATAAACAATTGCATTAACTGAACGTAACCTCAGAATCCATCATGGAATTACAGCAGAATAGCTCTAAATGCTTAGCTCTCCATGAATGGAGTTGAATACAAGATGAAAGAAAAGTGAGAGGACTATGAGAGCACGAACAAATGAAGTGAAGTCCCTTTTCTGCTTCCCTAGATCTCTTTATATAGGGCTTGATTGGGCTTGGACTCTGAATATTCAATTGACAAAATCTTTTTTCTTATATCTTCTAAATAACTAAAATATTTAGATAATTATAACATAATTTGGAAGATATTTTCTGTTGATATTCCCAAATTAAATTAATTCAACAACTGAATTTTATCTTTAAGCTTTTCTGACTTTTCAAAATTCCATAAATGCCCTAAAATTTCCTCTATCTACACTTTACCCCTTCAGAATTCTCCAAAATTGCACCAGAAGCCCTTATTGACCAGCTTTGACCAGACTTAAGCAGTGTTGACCAGCTTTAACTAAGGGAGGGCGTGGCCAATGAGATTCTGCCACGTGGCAGCCCTCTTTCTCACCTAATTAGGGTTTTCTGATGCAAGGCAATTCTCTGTGCCGTCACGCGACTTGCACTTGCACCGTGAATGAAGAACGCTTTTTTGCTTCTCGCACCAGGATTTTCGAATGGAGATGGCTCACGGCTTCTGAATTGGATTTCTGTGTGGTTGTTAAATCTGGTTTCTTCTTGCAGGTGATGCGTCGTGATCAATGGAGAAGAAGTTCATGGTGGTGACGTAAGGGAGGAGAAGATGATGGTGTTTCGAGTTTGGTGAACTTGAAGAGGCGCGATGGCAATGATGGATTTTGAAGCAGCGGCGACATTGATGCACTAGGGTTCGGCGAAGGAGATGACGGCGAGGATGTGGCACAACAACAAGGTGTGTTCATGGTGGAGAAGATGAAGATTGTGGCGGCCTGATGAGGAACTCGCGATGAAGGAGGATGAATGCCGACGTGATTGCTTCTGGTTTTTGTTGTAGTTTTCTGGATTTGCAGGTCTGGCTTTGATGTAGGTTCGTGTTGATGGTGGGGAGCGGCGGTGATGGAGAATGGTTGTCCGACGAGATGATAGTGGATAGTGGTCGTGGTGGCGGTGTGGTTGTTGTGCGTGACAACAACTGTCGATGAGGAGTGGGAGTTGGGACCTGACCTGTTAAATGCCTTACCAAAGTTCAATGGGTTATCAAGGGAGAATCCACACAAGTACTTGAGATAATTTCACATGTTGTGTGAAAACTTTAGATCTCCTAGGATCACAATAGAGAGTCTTAAAATGAGAGCTTTTCCTTTTACTCTTCAAGGAGCAGGTCAAGATTGGTGGTATTATCTCTTTGCAAGGATTACAAATTGGGAAACTATTGAAAGACTCTTTCTTGAAAAGTATTTCCTGCATCCAAATTATCTGTCATCCATAGAGAAATCCAAGACATAAGACAAAGAGATAGAGAAAATCTTAGTGAGTATTGGGAAAGATTCAAGAAAGTATGTGCTTCATGCCCTCAACTCCAAATTGAAGATTTTATTCTAAGCTTTTATGAAGGCCTAAGTCCTACTGATAGGTCATGAGAAAATGATGATGTGGTAGAGGAGGGTGATGTGGCAGCATGTGGTTGGTGTATTTGGTGTGCAGAGGATTAATGACGTGGCAGAATCTGGTGGAGTTTGGCTTAGGAGGGGTAGGAATAGGAAACTTAGGGTGGTGTAGTAGAAAAGTTTTAGTGTTTGGGCTTGGTTGTTGGCCTGTTTCAGAAATAGGAGTGTATTTAGGGATTTTAGGAGGTGCAAGGGTAAAGTTTGCTTGTTGGCCCATTTGTATATTATTTTGCAAACAAATTTTGATTTTGGAACTTGAATTGCTATTTGGACCAATAAAACTTATAATTTCAACTGCAAAAATAAATGTAAGAATATCCAAGAATAATTTATGCAACTAAAAATCATTTTTTAAGTCCCTTTTATTTCCAAACACAGTATATCCAATCATAGAAAATCCTCTTTAAATCACTCATTCAAGCACATGAATTCATCAAAAATTTGAATTTTAAAGCATAAATGTGGGCATAAATATGCATTCATCAGAGTCCAAGCCCAATCAAGCCCTATATAAAGAGATCCAGGGGAGGCATAAAGGGGACTTCACTTCATTCATTCATTCACCACTTCTCTCACTTTTCTTTCATCTTGTATTCAACTTCATTCATGGAGAGCTAAATATCTAGGAATATTCTTCTGTAATTTCATTATGGATTCTGAGGTTAGATTGAGTTAATGCAATTGTTTATTTTGATTATTGATTTAAGTTGTTCTCTCTCTATGTCTTTCATCTCTCTATCATATTAAAAGCAAAGATTTTGCATCATAATGTGTTTGAATCTATATGCATATTGATTATAAGAGTTCTAGGGTTTTTAGGTTTAATTGAGAATCTACTTTGATTTAATTTAGAAACTTTCGTATGATTAAATGATTTTTATTATCAATTGAGAATGTACTTTGATTGGTAGTAATAATTTCAACTATAATCAATTGAGAATTTACTTTGATTGATTAGTTTTTAACTTAGTTAGGAGATTTAAGAATAAACATGATTAAACACAATAGGATTTGATTGAGAATGTATTTTGGTTGAATTTATTATGAATAATCTAGAAATGTTTTGCATTTGATTGAGCATTTACTTTGGTTAATTGCATGATCGCCCTCAAATTAATTA